CTCTGCAGCATCACAGTGCTCATGTGATTGAAATTTCGTTTCTATTTGTACAAGCAAGGAATAAAAACTTCTTCCAATACTCTTTGGCAAAGCGCGCGGGTTTCTTGGACAGTTCCTGTACAGAGATTAAATCTAAAAAAAGAACAAATATAATCGTGAATCACGTAAAATGGATTCAGTGTATTTAACCAAACAAAATAATAAATTGAAATATATTTTCGACTTTACAACGATTTGCTTACATTATCGTTATCGTACTATATGCAACAAAAAAAGATAAGTAGATACGAACTTATCGTCCATTCCGAGCATGCTGCCGATGACTCTCCAGAGATGCACCGTACCCTCCATTTCCTCAGGAGTGGCATTTATCCCCAGATACTCTCCACTCACCATAATGTATCCGACAAATCCAAACTGGGCAAGTGCCATGTCTAATTGCGTTGGCTTATGTACACCAGCCTCGGTACTTTTTTTGAATGCATTACAATGCTTTCGACGAACAATTTTCAAGGATTCCAAGAATCTATAATAATTATTGTATATATATTATTTACAAGCGAATACACGTAATATTGAGGAGAAGAAATAAATTGTTCGCATTATATTATGATAAAAGAGATATAAGAAAGATTTTCAAAAATACTTCAACCAACGTAAATATATTGTAATTTTATACTTGTATCTATAAATATATAATTATAAATATTATTTATATATATATATATATATATATCTACTTATTTAATATTAAAAATTGCAATTTAAATCATTATATATAATATTATACATAATATTATATATAATGATTTATATATACATAATATTAATATTATACATAATTTATTTAAATACTACACTGAACATTCCAACAATAAGTTTCCATTAACAAGTTTTATATCTACATTATTTTTCATTTTCGATTTCTCTCGCAATATTTGTGTTTCGTATAACATCATTCTTATTTTCTTGAAACACTATCCAAATTTAATCATTATCATTTTTCTCACTGAATCCAAATATCTTTTTGTAAATTTCTACGGCAAATTTATTCATTTCAAGAATAAAAATAAGAGAATTTTTTAAATTCCATTGTGTAATTGTTTTACACAATGGAATTATTGTGGATACAAAAACATAAAATTTGACTTAATTTAAAATTTGACTGATTTCGACTGATTTTCGATTCCCAGTGTTGTGCAGTGTTGTGTTCTCGTATAATAAGTTCTTATTTTTCTGGAAATCTTACTCGTTAGGTTTGCCGTTGGGATCTTTTTCATGCCAGACGAATGTATGGAGTATCGTCGACGCATTTAATTAAAATTTGACTGATTTTATTATAATAAAATTTATAAAATATACTCTTTTATCTAATCATATATAGTTTATGTATGTATTTATATATGCATTGAAAATTAAATTTTTATAAATTTTATAATCTCAAATCTTTCATAACTACAAAAAAACAGTTTTCAATATTTACTATAAATTATTATTAATTTTTCTTATTTCATAAAATAATCTATCAATAGTACATTCTTGTTTTAATGTTTCTGTATTTTTATTAATTTGTTGTGTATTATTAATTTTTGTCCTCATCAATTTTCGAAATTTATGAGTACAAGCAAGTCATATATATCTGCATTAATTTTATTTTCCCGATTCCCAGTGTTGTGCAGTGTTGTGTTCTCGTATAATAGGTTCTTATTTTTCTGGAAATCTTACTCGTTGGGTTTGCCGTTGGGATCCTTTTCATGCCAGACGAATGTATGGAGTATCGTCGACGCATACCTGCGATACGCCAAACAAGGAGTATTGCTTTTTTTGGTGAACATAACTACATCCAGTATGGTTGAAATTGCGAATAGCGATACAAGGCCGGAAAGTTTTGCAATCATCATGGAGAATACGTTATTATAAAAGGCTTGTTGACCCAATCGAAATTTCTTCTCATCATAAAAAGGAGGCAATTCTGGTTTCACATCTTCGAAGTTCATTGGACTCCGAGGTCCTTCATCTAGAATAATTCGCAGTCGTTTCTCCACTACATCTAAAAAATGCATCATAAATTATTCTCGTTGATAAAAATAAAAGCGTCGGAAATAATAATAACAATAATTTTCGAATACCTTGTTTATGCCATAGTGCTATATATTATACCTATAATGAAGTGTAGATAATTTAAATTAACGCGCTTCCTCTTTTGTTGTGTGCAAACACATAAATAGATTATTAATATTTCCGCACTTTTAAAATTTTATTTTAAAAAGAGACATAAAAGTGTTTTTTCAAATAACTAAAATTATATTTTACTGTTTAAAATTTTTAACTTCTTTTCTTATCAATTCTACTAAGGTAATGCTCTCAAAAGGATCCTTGCTCAAATCACCCATTATGCAGGCATAATTGGGAATTTCCAAAGCCACGTTTGGCAGAACAAGAGGACACATGTAAAAACGTCGTGCGGGCGATCGCATAAATTGATCGTACATGTTCCGCATGTAGAAACGTCAAAATTAACGTTAACGTTCGTGCGTGGCACGTGAAAGGAATACCGGAAATTTTACAAGTCTTAACAATTTGATATTATATCCTATGTAATTATATACTGAGAGATAACTATTTATCGCATCATAATGAATAATTAATATTTGATATCAATAACAATTGATAGTTATATATGGCGAGACATTACTGCTTATCACAAAGTTATTGAATAATTAATATTTGATATTGATTGATAGTAACAATTGATAATTTAATATTAATTATTGATGTTATTAATTAATTAATTTGATATTAACATTTGATAGTATTGTTGTGTATAAAAACATGGCCATCAGCACATTTGCTTTATTTTTTATTATACACTTGCATTTTCTACAAGCA